AATTAGTTTAACGCATTTCCTCCTTGCTTCCATTTCTTTACATTCTATTTGCATCCAACCCCACTATCGCGCCGCTGTCAGTGTTATTCTTGCGATGTGAGTAGTGGGAACTGGATCCATCGAACTTTGATGCTCGGATTTTAGTTGTTTAACTAAACTGAAATCAAATCATCGAAGAAATTTCTTTTCGATACTTCTCTCCTGACTAATACATGTGTAAAATGTGGTTAAAATTGCGACAGGCTAAGATAGTTGAGTTAGGGTTGATTCAGTCTAAACAGACTGCTTTATCTATTGATCAAATTCTCCAATCGATGAAGATAATAATGCACACGGGGTCACCGCCTGAGATCGAATTAAGCGGCGCTCACGGTGAGATTAGGGCCAGGGAAAATGTAGCGTCTGTATTAGCGTCCTCAGTTTGCACAGCTCCGGTTGCAATCACTAGAAAATATGAACAGTGAATGGTTGATTTTCTTAGAGGCGGCAACCGTGAAGTCATCGTACAATTGGTCTGTTTTGTGTTGACGATTGGCCAGTAAAATTGTATGGTATTAAACTCATATATTTTTGCAGGACATCGGAAAGTTAGCGGTCGGGGTGCCAACCAAATATGAATCATACTTTGTGAATATCTGTGGTCAAACACGATCAGCATGCCAGCGTATCTAATTTATATCTGTGACACATCTGATCCACACATTAAAGCTCAGCCCAACGCAGTGGCACAGTGACCATTTACTAGGATGACACGTCAGTTTCCATAGACTATCGAGGTTTTGATAAAACAATGGGTTTTCCCTGATACATATCCGGTGCTTAGGCCACCGGATGTGCCTGCTTGCGTGTGAACCCAGATCTGCAATATTGTTTTGCACTTTTGTGGTGTGAAGTGCGCGCCGATTCATGCAGCACCTTGCGTCATCACTAGAGCAGTTGTGTAGAAGCTGGATGCGGTCCTGTAGGTGGGATTCCTATGCGTGCAGTGTCCAAAGGCAAGTCATCTATGGGGAAGTGAGATAGAAATGTCTGAAAAACAATCGTCGTGAACTCACAGACGCGAATCGAGCAAGTGAGGTTTGGGGAGGAAATGACAAGATGTTTGACGGTGGATGATCTGGACATGATACTGTCGCTCACAGTTATGGTAGGATTGTTCATAATAGATCGCAACTTATGGACAGACGATGTAATTGCAACTAGAAGCAGTAGGAGTGAAAGATCTTGATGGGCCATTTCACCAAATCTTCTAGTCCATCTTAAGGCGTTGAATACGTTTTGATATTGAGTGTTATACACTTTTCCGGAGCGTCGTCAGCATACTTGCATCACTGATATATACAGACGTGTAGAGAAAATAGAGACCGTGGTACTATCGCAATCTACGGCACACCAAAGTCGACAAGGGTAGTATAGGACTTTTGACCGTTTACCCATAGGCGCGATAAGTAAAATAGTCGCACAACAAATTGCATACATCTGAGTGAACCCCACTCTCAAAAAGTCGACTGAGCACTGTTCGTGCAAACATTTGAATAATCAAAGGAGTGCAACTATATGGCTTGGCTTCTCTGACCCAACGAAGGTCACAAGAAGCATGCTGAGCAACAATTGTGTATGCGTCCTGTACTACTCATAGTGATAATTTAAATGCTGAGAATGAACACATTCGAGTGCATAAAACCTATTTCGACTTGGCTTGAGGAGAAGTGCCTATCGGCCTTTACATGATACAAGAGAAGGCAGCTATAGGTCCCTAATCAAAGGTTGTTTTCTGGTCAGTGAGCGAGATCGTGGCTACATCGCTTGTATTTATGCCACTGCTCCGGCAACTTACGCAGCTCAGATGTATGGCTCGTGTTTAGAGCACTGATTATAAATATTCAGCTAGACCCCACTCACTACACTGCATATGTCTGTTTTCCACCTGCTTTAGCTCCATTGCGATGGTTTATTTGTTCGCCCGTTCGTACAAATATGCGCTCACCTTATTCGTTCAATGTGATCTATAACTAACCAAAGACGAGGACACAGTTCTTTGGAAACTACCATCAGTGAATGAACTCAAGTAGCGATCCGCCGTCGACCGATTGTTCTGGGTCGCTTCACACGACCCTTGCAACTTGCCAGGCGGATTAATTGGTTGTATTACTTCATGTTCCTAGTCAATCAAATTGGCACTCGTGAGCGTAGATCTGGGAACGCAAACAATCGATGCTTCCTCTGCAGATTATTGACTTATTGTCAATAACAAATCATACCATGTCTTGAACATTGTGGGGTCATCTCCGGGTCTCAATGGAGCCGTATGCCTCTAAGCGCCTTATCCAAGTTTGCCGAGTTAACTCGTTTGTCTCACAGACGAGATGATTAACCAATATTGGAAAACCAGTGATGGCGCTTTAGAGTTTGGAGGGCTACAGCCCGGTTTCCAGGTTTCCCCTTACTATGACAGCCCATAGGTTGCTATACCAGAATAAATGCGGCCGGATACAGTGTCAGTGACATTCATTTCAAGTACGAGAGAGGAGTATACAACGGAAAGCTGGTTAAACAACTTTGACGGTCACCAGCTTCTGAGTGAACTCGCTATTCGAACACAAGGAAAGTGTACGATCCACCTGGCTACCAATGACCTTCGGACATTGCAGCGTTTTTGATGGCTCAGAAAACATTCTGGCTTCCTTGCAATCTCGCAAGCGCTCAATGGATGCCCTGAGCAGGTCACCGCCAGTTAAATGCCACGGTAGCTTGATTAACGGCTCCTAATGATTCAGTATGTACAGGGTGGCGCACGAAATGCCATACCATTTGTTTTGTTCATTACACGTGTATTTATCATCGAAATATTACAAAATTAGTGCAGAATTAATCGTATGAGCATGGAAATTTAAGTTCAATGTAGTATGTGTTCAATTTTGTTTCACAAGCTCTTGCAAGCTTCCATGTTTTCCAGGGTGCGGACACTTGGTTTGCGTCATGGATTCTTCTCCACCACAGAGCCAGTTGTTTAAAAGTGACGATACGAACTGAATAGTCTGTTTACATAAAGCCCATTTTGTACGAAGGTGCGCACGAAAACGTCTGTCTCGCTACAAAACTCCTTGTTTCTGTAAAAACATTACAAGTTGCACAATCTGTTCAACACTCAATCCGCTCTTATGCACCGTTTTGAAGATGGCGTTTGGCGCCAAGAAAATATCCCATACAAAGTTCTCGTGATATCTTTCGGATTTTCCATAAACGAAAGTATACGAATACGAGTTTTCAACATTCCATCTATAATATTACATGTGTAATGAACAAAACAAACGGTATGACATTTAGTGCGCCACCCTATATGTTAATCGTCCCACTGCCCTGCGGATTAGGGCATTACGGCCTAAGGCCCAGGAGTAGAATCCTCTAAGTCAACCCTCCTCCGAAGCCACATCCCCCCTCATCGCATTTCTTCTTTGTCCATTAGGAATGTTTTCCTCTCCTGGGATGCTAAGGGCCGGCTCCATTACATCGTGTTACAGTGGACTGCAACAAATTACTTTATTCCACGTCGGTTCAATCCCCGCTTGTTGTAACACCTCAGCTCCCAAAAGTTCGACACGACGCCGTTGTAGATCACAGTTCTACACTAAACAGTGAACAGTATAAGAACGAGTGTGCACCACCGAGTTATACCAGTAAATCTTATCAAGCGCTCTGTTCTCAATTCAATCTGGCTTACCCGGATGCTTCTGCAACACGGATCACGAACAGATCATGCTTGCAGTCGAAAGGTTTTCCTTATTGACATTTGTCATCTCACTGAAACCCGCAAGCAAGATTCCCGATATGGTCTTGTGGCTGAATTTACGATCTGTAATTTTCGTTGGCACACTACTTTCAATCGGAGACTCAAGTGCCGAAACTAGTGGCTATGCCGACGTGATGGTAGCTTTATGTGCACGCATTGAAGCAAAGGCACATGACTAGATCCCAGTCAACGGCAGATTCCGTGAAGTTCGTCTGGAAAGCCCAATGAGGTTGTGCAGCTGATGGTCAGCAGAAGTTTATTGCTCCCTAAAACAGTCGAGCTCAATCAGAGGTTGGCCGTAACGTCAACTCACCGCTTCTTCATAAAGCATACCGCAAGCATATCTTGATGCATGTCGGTGAATTGAACACGCATATCAGTAGACCGGTCGATCATGAGCGTGAACCTGATCAACATGGCTTTGGGCAATGGTAATCGCTTCCTCAATCTTGGTGCCGATCAAAGCTTATTTTTCTGAGACCCTAACTTCAGAACTCGTGGAGTGAACGAACCACCCGGGACCGCGATCATATAGTCGGCGGTGGATGCAGGTTGAGCACATCAACATCAGTTACCAATGGTTATGCTGCGTAGGGGACCGCAAACCAATCTGGGGCAGTTATCTTCGGATGTTGCGTGCGCATGCATCAACGGTGTTTCGGTGACGACCAATGGCGGAGAACGGTTTAACATAACTAGGCTTGCTGTTCTTAAGATACTCAGCGCCTCCTGAGATGCGGTACCATCAAAGCTGAAGTCTTCTACCCTGAAAGGTCAACGCAAAAATCTCTAGCATTGTCTACGGTCCTACTAAACATAGTAACACCCACCGTAGCCCCTTCAAAATGTATCCATTAATCCCAGTGAATGTCCGATATCGGACCGCTATTCCAGCGGGATCCATCCGACCAGACTGCCTACAATAATTCTGCTGAGGACAATACTGACGTGTGAAGCACCCCATGTGATCAACTAATACTCGTCAGAAACGTGAAGAATATAGTCATTATTGACGACTTGTGAATTGGATGGTCGCAAATACCTCAATGCGATCGTCTTGTGTATGTTTTAAAGTCAAAACACGGATAAATATACTTTTGTCTTGACGATGCGAGACACGGTTATATCGGCATGATAAGGTAAGTGCTTGAATAAAATGAATAGACTAAGTATTGGTGGTGAAACCACGATAGGACTCTAGGGTACTCACCTCGTTTTTCTTTCTGATGACCAAGAGCGCATGCGGCCATGTAGATTGCCGCCGCAGCCACAGATACCGGACTTCGACCAGCCACTAAATTTAAGTTCAAAGCTCGTCTCGCTATCACGTTGGCTACTCTTTGAACAGCAATGTTCAAACCCAGATTGCCACAGAAACGAGACATGAAGTCCTCCACAGTGACAGATTGGACATTCGTTTCTAAGATTTTCAGTATCTTTTTGAACACTTTGCCGATTTCTTTTTTCGAAACTCGGGATACTGCACACACTTCTACGAACGAATAAAAGATGGAATAAGAAAACATGGAGTGTTGTATGCATCACTTAGCTGTAGGGATCGTATGTGATCAAGCTACAATACAGCAGATCAGTTTACCTTTAAAGGTGCGGGGGACTCCCTCTTGCCGGCAAGCCATGTACAGACAAGCTGTTGACACAGCATCGTTGCTTCGACCGCGGAGATTTTTGGTTTCATAGACTTGTTTAAACAGGAGGTTTGCATGATCCTTAAGGAGAATGAATGCAGGCTCATCAGCTGGTTTGAATCGGAAGCATATCATTTAATTAGACGTGAACTGAGCATACTTGAATAATGGGGGTTCAACTAAAAGTGGTGTATTCGTGCGTTACTCAGAGCACAATAATTTGTCCTGTAGGAGAAACCATGTAGATACGGATAGCATATCGCACCCACAACATACACAAAGGATTTCCCGTATGTTTGGTTTGTCAACAATCGCTACACCATACAATGAACCTTTCCCACAACAACTTCTTGATGCTCTGGCCGTCGCAGAGGATAATAAACGGCGCCCTATCTGCAGCATCGAGCAGGGTGGATAGGGATATGGATGCTACTGCTCAGGCCTTCCCGTCTTCTTATACCCCTTCTTGCGCTTCTTCATCCTTATCGTCCCGCACCAACTTTACTTATATCCTCCCCATTTCCAATCCCCCAATTCTTGGCCCTCCCCCAGCTTACTTCAATAGTCGCTTGTCTTCTAATTTCAAATCACACACACAATCGCAGGGCCTTGTTCCAATCCAGTCGACAAGTCCATGTTCAACCAAGCGGACAACGTCAGTTCATCCGTTTCCCTTTGGGGTCCTCGTGTCTCCCTAAGACTGGCATGCCTCAACGTGCGCACTTTGCTGCAGATTGGCCAACAGGCAGCACTTGCCCGCACACTAGAGACCCTATCGATCGATATTTGCTGTTTATCAGAAACCCGCCTGCAAGGTTCGAGCTCCGTGCTTACCCTGAGATCCCCCACATGCGACACTGGCGACACATTCTCATTGCGCCTGTCTGGCGGTGATGCAGCTTCAAATGCCGGTCAAGCTGGCGTCGGCATCGTTTTGAGTCCCCGGGTTGAAGTTGCACTGATTGATTGGATCCCAGTAAACAGTAGGATGTGCGCCGTTAGATTAGCTGGTTCGTTCCGTGCTACGAAGTCGCGCGGGGACAAACGGTGCCTGTTTGTCATTGCGGCTTACGCCCCTACAAACCGTAGCACTGATTCGGTGAAAGATGATTTCTGTCAGCAACTTCACGAGCTCCTTCGTTACAGAAGAAGCACGGATACTGTGGTGTTGGCTGGCGATCTAAACGCCCAAGTCGGAAAATTGTCCGCTGATGAGCTTCATCTGGGCGGCCAACATGGTGTAGGCTCCCGTAATGATAGTGGTGAGCGATTGCTACAGCTGTGTGAAGATGCTCGCCTCTTTCTCGCGAGCACTAACTTTCGACACAGCACCCGCAGAAGTGTGACTTGGCGGCCACCAGCCTCCGGCCAGCCATGGACCCAAATCGATCATATCGCGATAAGTTACCGCTGGAGAGGCTGTGTCCAAAACTGTCGCTCGATTTGGAGCACGAGCGTGGACTCTGACCACGCACTTGTCTGTGCCGACCTCCTGGTGCGTTTCGGTGGACGTCCGCAACGTCGATGTGAACGAATTGACACCAGCCAGCTGGCGAAGCCAGATGTTCTGAATGTGTACCAAAGTGCGCTGACATCTGGGCTGAGTAAGCGCCCACTAAACACCGTGGAAGATCACTGGTCGCATATTCGTCAAGCGTTGCTGTTAGCAGGCATGTCTTCATGTGGCAAGGCAAATTGCCAAACCGGACATTGGGTCTTTACAGTCTCTGGAACTTATGGATGCTCGCCGAGGTATTCCGGCTGGAAGCGAATACAATGAGGCTCGCAAAAATCTCAGGGTAAAACTACGTGCTAGCCTAAAGAATGACCGCAAAACTTGGTGGTCTCATCGTGCCTCTGAGATGGAAACAGCCGCTGCCGTTGGTAATCATCGTAAGTTATTCCGTCTGATACGGGAAAGAGGCAGCAGGAGACCTGGTGTTAGCGAGACCATACGCGAAGAGATTGGGCAGCCGATCCACAGCCTGTCAAAACGCTTGGAGCGTTGGGCTGAACACTTTGCAAAGCAATTTAACCAACCTGAGTTATCGCTTTCTTCTTCGGGCATTGTGTGCCCGTCTCCTTGGGCCGTCTCCTCGGATCCGCCCTCACGTGCAGAAGTCGAACATGAGATCAGGCTGTTGAAATTGCATAAGGCCGCAGGGGCAGATAGAATTCCCCCAGCCCTCTTCAAATTCGGGGACCTACTCTAGTAGATGATCTACACGAGTTGCTAGTAAAACTTTGGGAGCAGGAGACAGTCCCGACAGACTGGAACCGCTCCGTCATTGTCCCAATTTTCAAGGGAGGCTCCTGTTTAGAATGCGGCAATCTTAGAGGGATCAGTCTGATTTCGATTGCCTCTGTCATTTTCCACAGACTGACTGGCACTCGTGAAAGCCAGATTCGTGAAGAACAAGCCGGATTTCGTCGAGGCCGGGGCTGCATCGACCACATCTTCACATTGCGTCAAGTGTTGGAGCACCGCCATGTTTATTGGCGACCCACCGTTGTCGTGTTTCTTGACATAAAAGGTGCCTTCGACTCAGTCGATCGATGTGCCCTTTGGGACTGTCTGCTGTGGAAAGGTGTGCCTGATAAATATGTAAACATTATGAGAGCGCTGTACGCACATAGTTCGGGCAGGGTGAGGGTTTATGGCAAACTCTCGCCACCCTTCAGTATCACCAGCGGCGTGAGACAAGGATGCCCGTTGTCGCCTTTCCTCTTCAACTTCGCTATTGATGAAGTCATGGAAACAGCGTTCGCTGGACACGACCTAGAAGGTGTGGAGCTACTTCCTGGTGAGCGACTTCTTGACTTGGAGTATGCGGACGATATTGCCCTAATCTGTGACAGCTCCCAAACATGCCAAACAGCACTGGCTGTCAATCGTTTTGGGCTATGCTTTGCTCCATCGAAATGCAAAGTACTTCTCCATGATTGGCAGGGACCCAACCCTGCGCTAACGCTTGGTGGTGATCTGCTCGAAGTCGTTCAGGAATTCAAGTACTTGGGCAGCTATATTAGCACCCGTGGGATTGAAGATGAGGTTACAAACCGTATAGCGAAAGCTCAAGCTGCTTTTGCCAATCTCCGCCACCTGTGGCGCAGACGCGACATTACTCTCGCCCTGAAAGGCTGAGTTTACAACGCAACCGTCCGTTCAACTCTCCTATATGGCTGTGAAACCTGGCCCATCAGGTCGACAGACATGAAGACGCTCGTCACATTCGATCATCGCTGCCTTCGCAGCTTAGCTTATGTCTGGTGGGAACATCGCGTGAGCAATGAGCGTGTTCGACTTCGCGTATTTGGTGCATGAAGAGCGAGTGAACCGCTCAGCACCATTATATCACGCACCAGGCTCCGATGGCTGGGCCACGCGTTGCGCATGCCAGCACACCGACTCCCGCGACGTGCATTGTTTGCGCGTTGTGGATGCGGTTGGAAGAGGAGGAGGGGAGGCCAAGTGATGGCTTGGTCGAGAGAAATGAAAACCCTCACTTTGAAGTTGGCGTCGGTTGGTGAATCCCGACTGCCTGGCTGGTGTCCTAAGGACGGTGAACACGTTTGGTTGGACACACTTGCTGATATGGCTTGGAGCCGGCCCCAATGGCGTTTGTGTTGTGAGTTCCTTTGTCCATCCCCTCCTGTTTATCACCCCCTCCAATCACGATCTCACTTGTTAGGCATAATATGACTCTCTTCTACGGCAGCCAGTTGTTAGCTCTCCGGAACGATGTCCATCCGTTACTGGGGACTCAGCGGGCGTGCCACTGTTTGTTTTTCTTTTCTTTTCTTTTGTATTGCGGCACAATAGCTGAGGTGTTTTCCACCACCAGCTAACGTGTAATGATGATGATGATGATGAACTTATTAGTAATTATCGGCTCGCCAGCTCCCCCACGCGCACACAGAATGTGCTGACCTCCAAGCTCAATTCGCTCGTAAAACACCGAACAAACTTGAATAGCAAGAATTTCTTCCGACGAGACAAAAGGTGTCCCGGCATCCAAATACTTAGTAGTTTACATAGCTTTCCCGCAGATCTCCTAGTAACTGTCAACATGGCCGGGCCGTAGTGCTCAGTATAAATATTAGCCGATGAATATTTGACGAGGGCTGTTGAACATTGCCTTTCGAGACATGTCAGTTTGCTCCTTAACGCCATACTTTCCGAATTCGAATGAAGACTTATAGGGGCAGCGCACACACGCATGACATCCGCATGCCTGTCGAGGCACGCTGTTGTGCTAATTAAGAAATACAACACGTTAGGTCCTGGACGCTGCATCTCACCTTGGAGTAAAATGAACACCAATTGGGTGACCAATCGGTTGCATCCTGCTGTCAAAGAAGAGATGTGATGATAGACCCCTATATTTTCTCTGGTCCACATTGAACAAATCAGTGGAAATGCAACAAGATCGAGTCTCCACACATTGAAGCACTAAGCATGCATGTAGATGGTGACTACAAGTCCACACGGAATGTCCAGAATGTGAGAGCCGCGAGTTCCAACATCCTAACCTAACAGAGCCACGATCAAAAGTCACATTCTGAGCATTGCTTTATTTATTGTAAGTATCACATCAGCTTTGTATAGAACGCAGAATCGTAAACTTATGGAATACACTACCAGGAGGAGTAATAGAGGCCGATTCTGTGAAGTGTTTTAAAGCACGTATCGACGATTATTTCGGAAACCTGTGCTTTTGTGAAACGATGCATATACAATGCCAAAAGAAGACATCGTATACCCAGAAATAATGACACCAATACGAATTCCTAACCGAACAAGGATAAACGATTAACTGACCAAACACAACCGCTGACGATTCGCAACTAAATGTTTTTGATTTTTCATAATTCGATATAGTTGTACAGAAACCTTTCTACTTGCTCTTAAATACAGTCTCAGTTAAAGACCACTTTCTTCACGCACTAAAACAGTACAATGAATATTGCGAAGAAGAATCCAGGTAACTTTACATATAAATAAACGGGTAACACTGATCAACTAGTGTACTCGGGTGGTGAGCGGTGGTGTGACAATAAGGCTACAGGACTTGACTGCAAACTCAAAACAATGAGGGCAATATCATCATGCTGATAGGTCAGCATCTTTTTCTCCTCAATAATTCTCACTAGAAAACGCAACGATACAAACGGTGAGGATGATACACTAAAAATTAAGACAGTTTAATCGAACGTGTGGTCGGTGCGATAACGTGTTACAGAGACGAACTGCTTCAGGAAAGGATCACATCCATCTATCCGGTGCCAGGGATCACAAGGAAACGGTTTTCGTGTTTGCTTGGGGGAGCGATGCGATATAACACCAAGTCGCTACACAGATTTTTGCGACGGGAAAACAACAGATGAAGTAGTTGACTAACCTCACAATAACTACCCATATTGACTGGGATCAAAGATAGCGCAATGATTTAAATCTGCAAGTGTGATCTTAATAAAACGGGTGGTAGTGAAAAATAAACCAGGTGATCAGATGAAAGTACTTCTTACAGATATGGTTTTAGGGAGGTTAAGGTGCTCAGCCATTTGACCGATTTCACGGAAAGCGCTGGTGAGAACACGATCAACAGAAGATAGATTGCGGCGACTACGATACAACGCCTTGCCTTGATCATCCACCTGCCTCGAATCGGCAAAGGATGGACCACTGATCATTGTCGACAGGTCACCTCCTGTGAGCAAGGGATTCTCGCTCGCACCCACGCGGCACATATCTTTTGCATTCGTGTCGTTGGAGAACGTACGCCACTCAGATCCAACATCGATTACACTGAAAAGGTGCAGCATGTGAGTGGAAACGCTGTTGATGTGCACTAAAGTTGTCACAAAAACGTGCGATATGAGTGAAATCAAACAAGGTTCGGAAGGAGAAAATGAGTTAAGGAATGAAAATGGAAGCAGGGCAGGATCTGACGATTTGCTAGATGCGACGGCTACCTAACCGCAAGACCACGAGTATATTGTGTGCAGGGCAACAACAAAAGCCAGATGAAGGTGATCCATAACAAAGACAAACAGGAAAGGGTAAAATTTAGATGTGGAAGTGCCAAGAGTGATGGGATATAAGCCTGTGAATCCCAATGCAAGCAAGTAGGAAGTGAAGTTTTCTAGCCAGCGTAACAGTGAGTAGAATAAATAGACTTACCGATCGGCAACCACCAGGCCACACATAGAGCAAACCATATCTCCGGCGTGAGAATCTTCGATAAGAGTTGCATAAGGATGGTATTTACATTCTATTTTACTCCTAGAAACAAAATACTGGAATGTGCGATCAACTTACATTTATGCTCGAGCTGAAGAAGAAAGCCCCCTTTTGTTCATGCACGAGAACAGTAGGAAAGAGTCAAGAATAGTCAAAGGCAGACAAATTAAGGAAGAAAAACATAGAACTGCTGAAAGGAAACCAACGAAATCGATCAGAAAATATCAAAGAAGCATGTTGGGTCGAAACTCAAAAAAATGACTGGGTGGCGGTGACAAACGGATGGTACCGTCGATGTAAGGCCATGATACGTAACTCTTGGCTTGCGCTTCCGACAACGATATTCCGCGGTGATGTATGTGTCAAGAACATGGTAATATCGCCTGTGGATTTCGGAATAGTGATGGGTTCATCGAACATAACGCAATAATTGGCCAACGTCAATGAGTCACATCGACAATGGAACTGGCCACTTTATGTTCAAAAAGCGAATAGCATTTTGTAACGCAGATTCGAGTTTGGTGCGCTTCTGGAATATCAACTATGGAGTGATGAGAAGGGCTCGGAATAAACTACAATGAAATCGTTTCATGTTCGACTCCAAGGAACGTGACGCCATCACCTGCTTCACTTCTATGCTCAGCTATTTTGCGATAAACCGGGAAGGTGTTATGGCCTAGCCGAATTCTGCAGTTGGCACATAAGTAACAGTAAAATTATATCTCAGCAATAGTGATGCCCAACGTTAGAGACGATCCATCACGTAAACAGGAGTGCCTCTTAACAGTAAAAGTACTCGATGAGGATTTAACATGTTTCCAGTATGAATTTTCAGCCCTGTAACATGTGATGAGAATTTTAAACGGAAAAAATCAGTCAGTACCTCATACTAGACTGGTGAAAAGTTCCATACAGATTTGGCAGAAGTATGTGATGTGCAGACAACCGGCCTCACCTTGCTAACATCGCATTGCAGTCGGAGAACCGCTCCGAGGTAATAACTAGGAATAGCTGAGGAAACAAGCATACTCGTTTTGGGGTCATAACGCGTCAAAATTAAATTAGATAGGAGGGTGCTTAATGTACCTAAACAGTTCGTCACATTGGGGTGACCTAAGCCGTTCATCGGTCAGTAAAATCTATGATATCGGTAATCATGAGCCTGGGCAAGGGTGGCAATGGCCAAGTCTACAATCTGGCCGGCCATCAGTTACACCCATTGCCATCTGTGAAAGATTTCTACGTACTGTCACGCTGCGATTTGAAATCCGTTGGAAGCACGAACAGATTTACCAAAACGGACTGCGCATGCTCTGGGCGCTCAAACGCAGCTTCTGCAACTGGTCCGAAGAGGTCGCCACCCACCACTTCTCTTATATCATTAGACCAATGCTAGAGTACAGCCCATCCGCCTAATGTCCGCTCACTCGGGGTGAGGTACAAAGGATTGAGCTGGCACAGCATGTGGCCACAAGGCTCATCCCCGGTTTAGGTGTGTATATAAAGACCAATGCGAGAGATTAGTGTTGTACACTGTCTAATCGTCCAGTGCGAGTTGACCTCATCTTGAGGCACCAGATATTACATTTGGGTGATTAACCCATGTTGACGCCGCTGCTCCATCGGCGCACACGAACCAGCACACGAGGACACTGGTATAGGCTTGTCGTGCCGGATTTAAAGCGGGTCGTTCGACAACTCTGCTTGGAGCAGAGGGTGGTGAATATATGGAACAACCTGCCTGCAGACATAGTCGAAGCAAAGTCGGTGAAAGAATTTAAGGAACTCTTGGACTCGCACTTTGCCAACTTGAGATTTCGAGAATAGTCATCATAACAATAGGTACGGTATATTACCGTGTATAAGGCGACAGTATGACTTTGCAACGTCAAACTTGTCCAAAACCGCAAGTCCGTATACCAGCCGAACTTCAAAAAAGCAGCAAAAAAGAAAGGGTATAGCAACAAGAATACGGCTGACCTTGGAGGTGATGTTGGACGGTAAGTGAGCAGTCACATGAAAACATTGTGGACTGGGATGTAATCTTACGAAAACGAAAAACAGCTTCTACTTAAACGAACCAAACGCGTGGGTTAGAAATGTCAAACGAAGGTAAAAACGAATCCAAGGGAATGTCCTGACGCACTAATGACGAGCGTGTGATCAGACATTGTGAAGAAAAAGAAAAATTATACATAAAATGTGAATAAAAATGCGGGGTCACCAGTTATATGGAGGAACCGGTAAAGGAGAATACCCAGTCAGTCAGGTTATGTTACATACAAAATATCCTGATGTTCCTTAGCATCGGACGACCGCAGATCGTGAGGTATGCCGAATTGTACGTATAAGTATATTCCAATCGTGAATCGAGCAGGCAGCGATGCGCACAATCACAACAATCCAATGGCAACCAAGGGAGAACCACGGAAGACGAGCTCGAAACCAATCGTTATTTCTATATAGTTAAAACAAGTTATACAACAACCGCAGCAAAATAGGTAAGCGCTAAAATAAAAAATAAGCAAATTATTTACAATCGCTACAGTACTTCCCCTCCTAGAGCGTGCACTAAAGGAACGCTCGACAAGGAACCTATGGAACGTACTGAGCAAGCTTATGGGGAAGGGAAACAACACGACCAGAACGTGTGTGTGTGTGTGTGTGGAGCTGCGTGTAGCGGGAGGGCATAGAGGACTCGGTGTACTGGCGTCAGTGTGTTGTTGGGTAGGGGGTAATGAGTCAGGGGCAGGAGTATTCTGAGGGGAGGAAACGGGGTCTGCACTAGCGACTGTAGGTTTAACGTAAGCTGGTTTGAGTCGGTCAATGCTCACGGATTCTTTTGATCCACTTTTATTCAACACGAAATATTTAGGTTTCCGTGATAAGACCTGGTACGGGCCTTCATGGGGCGGAGTTAAAGATCCTCGGACGGCGTCGACGCGGATGAAAACAAACGGACACTTGTGCAAATCGGAGTGAATTTGCTGTTTACGTACGTTAGACCGCGTAGACGTTGGTTAAATGGATCGAAAATGGTGTTTGAGACGTTCAGCGTACGAGAAGGGGTCTAGTTCGCCGGTGGTGCGAGAGTCCAGTACCATCTCACCAGGTAGTCTGAAGGCCGTGCCAAACACCAGTTCTGCAGGGCAGCACCCAATGTCCTCTTCGATTGTATTGCGAATGCCAAGGAGGATCTCAGGCAGACGCTCAGAGCAGCGTGAGTCGGATGAACTAGTCATGATGGCACCTTTTAGTGGTCGATGAAAGCGCTCGACGAGGCCATTGGCAGCGGAGTGGTACGCAGTTGTTCTTGTGAGTACAGCCTAGTAAACGACTCAGATCACGGAACAGTGTGGAACTGAACTGAGTCCCTCTGTCGGTAGTGATAGTGGATGGAACACCAAACAGAGAAGTCCAAGATTCAACAAAAGCACGGGAAACAGATTCAGTAGATGTATTACGTAAAAGAACAGCTTGTGGCCAACGGGTAAAACGGCCAACACATGTTAGAAGATGAATAAAACCGTTGGAAGGGTAAAAGACCGACAATATCTACGTGAACGTGTCTAGAACGTGTGTCAGGGAGTGAAAAGGTACCTGGAGTAGTGACTGTGTGACGATGAACTTACTGGTTTGGCAACTAGGACAATGTTTAACCCAATGTCTAATGTCTTAACGCAAATTGTGCCAGAGGAAGCGATCGGTAATGAGCTTTACGGTGGAGCGAATACTCGGGTGTGAAAGACCATGAAAATGGTTAAAAATGGTTCGACGAAATGATCGTGGGACAAAGGGCTTACCTATGAAAAATTCACAGTAAAATCTTTTGTCAGAGTTAAGTAGGGCAACTGTGTGACTTTCAATGAGGGGTTTGATCGAAGCTGGATAAGCTCAGGATCATTGATTTGAGCGGCCGCTATTCTCTCCAGGTCGATGGGTGTTGATGATAATTGATCCATATGAGCGCGCGATAATGCATCGGCAACAGCGTCGTTAGAACCGTCGATATAACGGACATCAACACAGAACTGCGAAAGATAGTCCAGATGACGCGTTTCTCGGAGTGAGTAACGGTTCGAGGCAGAATGGAAAGCGAACACCAGTGGCTTGTGATCTGTCAAGAGTATGAAACGACGTTCTTCTAAAAGGTGCCGGAAATGTTTCACAGCCAAGTACATGGCGAGCAGTTCACGACCAAAGGTGCTGTACCTGACCTGAGCAGGCTGTAGCTTTCGTGAGAAAAAGGACAGTGATTGAAATTCGTTACCAACTAACTGTTGCAAAACTGCACCGACAGCGGAACTCGAAGCATCCGTCTTAAGGACAAGTGTAGCGTTCTCAGTGGTGTTCAAGTGATGGAGAGATGTGACCTCGCTAAATTCTGCTCAACGACCGTGAAAGTGGCTTTAACTTCTGGGGTTATCGTTAAAGTCTTTGAGTTTCCTTGCAGTAAGTCGGTAAGTGGATGAAATAAATCAGCACAGTTGGAAATGAATCTTCCGTAGTAGTTGATCATACCGAGAAATCGGCGTAGGCTTCCGACAGACTGAGGCATCGGATAGTCGACAATCACTTGGGATTTATCCGAGAGAGGGTTAACACCTTCGCCATCGATCTTGTGACCGAGAAATTCGACGGTGGGCTGACCAAATATGCATTTGTCCGGGTTGGTGGTTATACCGTGGTTTTCAAAGCGTTCGAAAACCATTCTGGGTTGTGATAAATGCTCATCAGGTGTGTCGCTTGCGATTAAAATATCGTCAATGTAAACGTAGACGAAATCAAGGCCACGGAGGACCTGATCCATAAAGCGCTGAAGACTGCTGCGTTTCGGAGGCCGAAAGGCATACGAAGAATGTTTCGAAATACTGGTAGCTCGGGTTGATGAATCAATTGTTCATTTGTTCTCCGAGCTTGGCGGTTTTCACGCAAACGTTTCACCACTATGCGAGGTGGCATCCTC